CGTGAGGGTGATCGAAGAAAGGGACAGAGAAAAAAATGCGACAAAATAAATCTATGCATCCGGGTAGGCAGAGACTGATTGACAAATGACAAAACAATGTGTGCATTGGAAAAATCGAAAAATTTCAATTACTGTGCCAGGTGGACGACGCATCCAGACTTACCGGGCAGACTGACTAGCTTGTTCGAATACAAATACAATTCTTTCAAATGTACAGCCAAGTCACGAATGCTTGTTGGGAGTGAATGAAGCTGTCCTTTGGATAAGTCCAATCGACTTGTGCTATCCTCACGACAACGACTGATTTCTTTTAATGCATCCTGAGATTGAACCGGGCCGGGGGAGCACATGAAAGTGAACGAGAAATATGTGAAACCCGCAACGGGGATGGGAGTCAAGATCCAGAGAAACAGACAGCAAAAAAAAAACACAACACAACAAACACGCCGGACAGATAAAAGCTGGAAATGGGACAATAAATGAGCACACAATTTGGGAGTTTGATTGAGTGGGTGCACACTCGTGCTGCTTTCAAACCGATCGTATCACGCGTGCCGATCGAAAGTACCAGAATACGGTGTGTGTGACTTGTAAATCGCGATGCAGTATGTACAGACCTGATCATTGGGCACTAAAATGCCCATAGACAACTGTGCCACCGAGAGCCTCAGTATGATCGGGGGTGGGTGTTTAGGGTTGCATCTGGTCACCCTGCCCTCGCTGTGAATTCCCCAAGAAAATTCACCTGTCTTGGCCTGGGCAACCTGGCAGTATTCAGCCCACTTTTTATAAAGATGATTGTACCACGATTTGTTTGGCACACAGTGTGGCATCAGACTTATGTGAAATATATATATGAAACTGTACATACAGCGTGAATAAGTTATCACTCTGAGCAACACAGTAATGAATCCCGATCGAGAATCTTGTAATTTTAGGCAATAGTGATGTCCATCCAGCAATCGATCAATGGAGGTCTTGCTGATAGAAGTACCCGGGAAGTCTGTCTACATGCGTTTCTTTAACTGCCTCAATGTGGCTGTAGAGTTATCATCAACAACACATAAATGTTTTGTGAATTCGTCGTTGAATTTACTCTTATAAGACCTTAGCTTTAGTGTTACTTCCCGAACCGTGGCTGCAATAGCACGACATGTTTTGATCTTGATGCCGAGGTATTTTGCAACTTCTTTCAAATCATCACCTCTGCGTGCACATTCAATTACTCTCCGTCGATCTTCCGCACTGGTGAAGCGATAGGGCCGTTTCTGTCCATCCGACTTAACGTTCTCCATATTGCAGATGAGTGCAATGGTAAGCAAAGTACAACAAATATAACGGTTACCTATCGTGGTGTTTTTATAGCCCCAATATCGACGAATCAAATGCCGCATGACGAGACTGCAGAAAAAATCAGAGATGCACTACTCCTGTGAATAAAAATCTCGAATGTCTTTCTTGAACGATGTTCATTATTCACGATATATTTATTATTATTTATTATCTTATCGATTGCTGGCTGGCTGGACATCACTATTCAGTTAAGAAGTTGACCATCCAGCCCATCGGACGGAACACGGAATCGGTCGTGAATCGAGCGGAATATGCCGATTGGTTAGAGAGATCGGGCAACGCAACCCTGAGAGTGTATATTGACGAGACCGATTACAACATATGGTCCTGCCGCAGCTATGGAAGCTCCAAAGTGGGTTGTAAAGGCATTAAAAGCCTCCTGTCCAGCAAAGGACCCAACTTGAGCATAACAGCATGTTCATCTTTCGCTGGTATCCTTAAATATCCATAAATGTCAGACAAAGATCAGTTGGCATGTTTTCAATGGGTTCCTATCAAGCTTTTCTCCACTCATCGCTGCTGAGCAACCGGG